AGCTGTAACAAAGCGCTCAACAAAACAGTTAACATAAAGTAAAATAATAAACACAACACATAACATAATACACGGACAGTCGTGAAGTGTTTGCTTAAAAATGCATCTGAGGGAAAATTCACAACAATCTAATACTGGTTCTGAAGTTTAATCCTAATCTGTATAGTTTGCACAACATGTGTTTGTTGTATTTGTTTCAGAGTCTGCATTTGCAAGCTAGGTTCAAAAAACAAAAAGGAATTACGGAGACTGGAACAGCAGAAGGGGCAGGAAAATCCCAACCGTCTCATTCAATGCCAACAACAAATAATGAAACAGACATTGGCGAGGGGCAGGACACCAACACAAATGAACGGGATGCCATTTGGATTAATCTGCCAAATTCCAAAGATTTCTCTGACGCTTGCTTTGAAATTATTGACCTGAACAGAGTAGTTCCCAATGCCTCCTCACAAACAGAGCTGGAGTACATCTGTTATGACACATTTGAAGAAGCAGATACAGTTGTATGGGATTCAGATGACAGCCTTGTTAGAATGGATCAGGATGAGGCGGCAGTAACCATTGGGGTAAGGTAGAAATACTAACGCAGGTGTTAAAATACATATTTGAAAGTGTGAAATCTTCAGCTAATTAATGACAGTACATAGTTGTACTTCTCTGTTTCTGAAATATTTTATATTGTTTCTGTTTTAACATTTCTTAAAATCAGTATGGAATTACTGTAACTTCCAAATGATTTTTTTGTTTGTTTTGTGGGGAGGAGGGAGACAGGATGATCAAGAGATGTAAAATGCCTATTTGGAAAGACTTTCAGTGTACTGTAAATAACAGTCTTCAAACAGGCTAAAACATTTTATGGGTCATAGAATCATACATTTGTCATTTAACACATTGTTAAATTCATTCTTCAGAGTACTGAGATGTATGGAGGGACTGAACAGGCTTCACAACTCCTGTTGCCTTCTGCCAATGAACTGGCTTCACAAGTTGTACAGTCCCTACAAGAGGAGGGAGCGCAAACTGCACAGGTAAGCTCTACTGCAAGTAATCCTGAATGCTTTTTCTAAACTACTTAATGATTTTACACAACTGTTAAGTAATATTACCCTTTTCCCACTGAAACTATTGGATAGTAGTGATCCGTGGTGACATGCAAGCAATTGGCATACTGTACTGTATTGTCCGTTTCCCATTGACCAACAGAAGGCTATTTTGCGAACAACCATCCACGCTCACACTCACACCTAGGGACAATTTAGAGTGTACCATCAACCTACCTGCCAAGTATGTTTTTGGAATGTGGGAGGAAACCGGAGTACCCGAGAAAACCCACACAGGCCCGAGGAAAACATGCAAACTCCACACAGGCAGGCCGGAGCCGGGATCGAACCCACGACCTCTGTGAGGTTGACGCGCTAACCACTGGTCCACTGAGCGGCCCACAAACCAAAATACTGTGTATAATTTCAAAAATACCTTTCATGAAATTATTTGACAGCTCACTTTAATGTTAGTCTTTGTTAGTCTTGAACTGCAATTTTCCCTTGAGTGCTTACCGTAGTTTGTTGGTCCTTGCCAAGCATTAATAGGACCCGGCATCATTTCAATCGCCTCTCTGAGCTCATCCGCCCCTACACACCTGCTCGGCGCCTGAGGTCTGCGGACCAAACATTATTAGAAGTACCTAGAACAAAATGGAGGCTCAGAGGGAATCGAGCCTTTTCCGTTGCTGGTCCCTCTTTCTGGAATGACCTCCCACTGACCTGCCCCTTGGTGCCCATCTTTAAAACCCACCTCAAAACTCACTTGTATTCTTTGGCATTTGACTCAGCATGACTCAGATTTGATCTTAGTTTTACTGTTTGGTGCTATCTACCATCTTTGTTACTGATTTATTGCTTTACTGTTGTATATGTTAGTTGCTCCATGTACAGCACTTTGTATGCAGCAGCGATTGCTGTTTGAAAGTGCTCGAGAAATACATTTGAGTTGAGTTCATATTTCACCTCTGCTACCTTTTTCATGTTTTTTTTTAATGTTTTATTCTTACAGGACAGCGGACCACATTGTTCACCGCAAGACTTGTTCTCAATTTCAAGTCGTCAGCTATCCCCTTCAACCTCACCTAACAATCTAGGAGATCCAAGGACACCATGGCATGCATCCATTTGTAGGATCAAGGTTGTTGATGATCTTTTGTCTGTGTTTATGGACAGCAGCATAATGGAATTCAATGTAAAGATTAAGTTTGTAAATGAAAAAGCTATTGATGATGCTGGTGTGTCAAGGGAGGGCTACAGTGCATTCTGGGAACAATTTCTTGAACAGTGTGAAGGGGAAACAGAGCGGGTTCCAAGGCTAAGGCCAGATTTCTGTGAGGCTGAATGGCAAGCGGTTGGGCGGATCTGGGTGAAAGGATTATTAGACCATGGTGTCATGCCAGTGAGGCTATCAAAGGCTTTCGTGTTAGCCTGCATCCATGGCATTGACTCAGTTGATCGAGACATCCTAATTTCATCATTCCTTAACTACCTTCCTCCCATTGAGAGGTCAGCAGTTGA